ACGTAGTATACACACACACACACACACACACACACACACACACACACACACACACACACACACACACACACACACACACACACACACACACAATCCAGGATTGTGGGCCAATATACACTGAACTACACGCTTGTTAAAAAAATTCCTATCATGTTCATGTTTAGAAGTGACTTGATGTTTTCATTACAGGCTACAGCTTTTACGTAGTTCTCATATGTCATTAATAGTAGTCACACGTTTAAAACCAAACGAAGAAGGCCAATTGTAACCGTATAATTAATATGCACAAATGATTTATGGGAAGTTTTCCATTGTGGATTGTGCCTTAAGTGACTAGTACTTCACTTGGTGTTATGTGCAGTGAAGTGTCAACATTAATTACAAACATACATCCAAAGATATATGTAATGGGCAATTTTGCAAATTAAAAATAAGTTGGTAAGCTAGAACTGGTTGAAAATATTAAATGTATAATATTATATGAATAGTATTATTTTTTTATTTTCATTATTAGAATTGTTAGGCTATACATATATATATATATATATATATATATATATTGTGCTTGTTGTTAATATTGTAATGAAGTAACATTTTTATTTCATTTTCAATCACTGTGCATATTAAATGAATAGTTGTTTCCAACATTAAATGTTTCCCTGGCCATTTTGTCCTGTTTTCGTTTTTAATATTCTAGAATTAGAAGTAAAAATAACAACAGAAGAAATTCAAGTGCTTAAACAATATGAACATATATGTTACCAATGTTAAGAAACTGTAACAGAATATAACATACAATTCTATTAAATATCGTTCATAATGTAAGGTTATAAGCCCCAGCCTTTGTTAAATACCTATATTCCAGCCAGGCAATGTTATGTTGTTCTGGGTGCAATTGGAGGGAAAACAGTAAATTAAAGGTACACTCCATTGTAGAGATTTTGTTGCCAGACTTCCCAGATCATTAAAGGGGATGTTAAAGCCGCCGCTGTTCATGCAGAGGACCCTTTGAGATCTGGTGAGTTTCCTCTCTATATTGTAAACCATATATTGTTTTATAAAGATATACGTGCTCAAAAAAGTATATTAATTCAAATATACTTCATTGTACGTGATTACCTATTTTTTTTGTCATCTAGTTGTGAGTAATAAGAAAGAAATGTCTCACTTTCCGTCAGGCATTCTCCAACGACGCCCGATTCTGGCCCCAATGCATTCTGGTGCTGTCCCCGCTCTTCTGTCGGGATCCACCGCTAACGTGAAGCTGGTAAGGATAAACTGGACACAGCAATTAAAGGGGAAATGTTGCAAGAATATAACTCCGCTTTGGTCCTAATATCGCATTTAAAGCCATTGTAAACACTTATATTGTAACATATCATTACAAACGTTGCACAGGTTGCATGTTTGGTGCTGTTTTATTGATACGAACACTGATGTTGCACACATCGCATGGCGATGGACAGGAAAGGGTTAATTTTTTCCGCCGCCGACATTTTTATTCGGCACTCTACGGCAACTTTTCAATTTACATGTGATCGAGCTGGCACTATGTTACACAACTATGTGTCACATTTAGTCGTTAGCCTTTACGATTTGTGTTTTTAAATGCAGTTCAGCTCGCACACTCAGAAACTCGGTGTTCTTTGTTGCACAGAGCTGCTCATCACCTCATGCATTGACCAGCCTTTGCAAGCGAAAGCTAGCATGGCAACGGAAACTGCATTTTTAGAAAAACAAACAAGCGTAAAAAGATATAGCTGTCACAATCAGCACATATGTCTTACAGTTCAGCGCCCTGTTGCTAATAATATGGCATTCGTTTAACCGAGTATTGTAAGATTGATCGGCAATGATATTATTATAGTGCCGCAGGGTTGAATGAACTTAGCAGCATTTTGTCTCTTGAACACTCCCACTGTGTACAATCCGAGGCCCCTTACAGCAGGTTAAACAACCACCGGGGTTATAATTAACCAAATAACCCTGTCAGGTGGCTGAGCTTGAACTATTTTCATGTTATTCTGGGTCATTCAAGCATTTATTTTTATTTCACTGTGAATCTGTGAGCACGCTCATTGTGGAGTTTTAAAATGTTATTTCGTACAAAACTGACGAATTAAATGTTTTTCCATTGATGTCTGTCAACATCAATGTAATTTTACTCCAAACATAGATGTGTCTGGGTAATGTTATTCTGTTCTATACAATAGACTTACAATATAATTGTTTGTAGTTGTAACTAAGGTGTAACTTGGAGTTATTAAATGTTAATTTGGCTTTGCCGTTATTTATGACTCTGGGACAAATTTATCCGCAGGGATTTTGTTAACTGTTTATTATCAGCTACTCAATTGTGAGAATGTGCTGCTTTTCTTTGTATTCTAGAATTAAAAACTGAATATATTTTATGTTTTTGACTGTTTGTCAAAGAGATGCACAATATTGGATTCATGCCGATATTGTTCAACTCATTTTGGCCGATGGCTATCCATGCATAATTCTTAGATATTCTTGGCGACCCTAAATATGACAGCACTCAGCCCTTTGACTCATAAGGGTAGGATTCATTGCAGTGCTGGAGATTTTCCAGAAGCTTATTGGTCTTTTGTCATATTTCACTCAAAAAGATGCACAAAAGACAACATTTGATAGTAATATCAGAGGGCATTGCAGTGTGGTGAATGAATTTATATTTCATTTATGTGTTTAATTATACACATTTAACAAGATTTTCTTCTAGCCAATTGCAACATTCAAAAAGTGTTTCCTATAACCTATATGTTGTTGTTTTGTCCTGGTCATTGATTTGGTTGTAGTGGTGAAGACCCAGCGCTTCTACAGACATGTCGGTGAGGGAGTCCTTTAACCCGGAGAGCTATGAGCTGGACAAGAACTTCCGGCTCACGCGCTTCGCTGAGCTCAAGGGCACAGGCTGCAAGGTTAGCTCTCCTTATGGACATCTGCGGATGCATTACTGTCTTTGTATAATTATCCAACTGAATAAGAACATCTGATTCAATATTGTATGATAACAACTTGGTGGTTATTGTCTTTGGTCACAGGTGCCCCAAGATGTTTTACAGAAATTGCTAGAAAATCTACAGGAGAACCACTATCAAGAAGATGAACAGTTCCTGGGGGCAGTTATGCCACGATTAGGTAATAAGGATCTTCATATAGCACTATGATAACAAATGATTTAAGTTACAAATTGCTTACAATAACATTTGAATATCTGTTTAAAGACCAGAAGTCAATTTCAAACTAACTGCTCTTTAATCAGGATTTTGTTGGTACAGAATCAGAACAATATATCACATAGTGAACTCTTTTATTTTTCAAGGCATAGGCATGGACACCTGTGTGATCCCCCTCAGACATGGTGGCCTTTCCCTGGTCCAAACAACAGATTACATCTACCCCATTGTGGATGACCCCTACATGATGGTATGGATCTCTTCTGTTATGGATATTACTAATGCCATTGTGGTATTATTACATATACACCTATGTGACAACTTGAAAGATGCCACTGTTATATTTCTGTGTCTGTCTACTTTTATACGCTGTGCTGGAGGCCTACTTTACACAACAACCCTAGATGTGCTTCATTAATATTATTTCTATTTTGTAGGGAAGAATTGCCTGTGCCAATGTTCTAAGTGACCTGTATGCCATGGGAGTGACAGAGTGTGACAACATGTTGATGCTTCTGGGGGTCAGCAACAAAATGTCAGAGAAGGTAAGAAGCATCTCCGTTAATGCATTCACTTTTGGATCTAGTTTCTGGTCAATAACTGTGAAGAACCAATTGTGTAATAGTAAATAAAATGCAATACCGCTTATACAACATGTTATTACAGTAAACTGTTACTTTATAACATGTTTCAATATGTAATTACATGTTTTTCCAATGTGCTCCCTGTCTGTGCTCTGAATTTATTTTCTTGTCTTTACAGGAGAGAGACAAAGTCATGCCGCTGGTCATCCAGGGCTTTAAGGATGCATCAGAGGAGGCGGGCACATCAGTAACCGGAGGACAGACGGTGCTCAACCCCTGGGTGGTGTTGGGAGGAGTTGCAACAACAGTCTGCCAACCCAACGAATTCATCATGTAGGATTTGAGTTGCTACTATATATATTTTCTTATTTATGTATAATGCATAATTTAGTTGTAATGTATATATTTGATTTTCTCAGGCCAGACAATGCAGTGCCAGGAGACGTGTTGGTGTTGACCAAGCCACTCGGAACACAAGTGGCGGTTGCAGTACACCAGTGGCTAGATATTGTAAGTCAAAATGCTCAATCATGAATCCCTTTTGCTGTACAATTCTTGTTTTTAGCATGCAAACCAACACAATTGACGGTTTTTTTTTTACTCTCAGCCTGAAAAGTGGAACAAGATCAAGCTGGTGGTAACCCAGGAGGATGTAGAGCTAGCCTACCATGAAGCCATGATGAACATGGCTCGGCTCAACAGGACAGGTAAAACCTCTAAGAATGTGTCCACATTTTTGAATTGCTGTAATACTCTCCTTTTAAAAAAAAAAAAATCATTATTTTTCTTTTAATTATTTAGTTAAGCTGGGCCTCAGTAGCGTAGGCAGATATCAAAGAGTGGGTGGGCACAACAAAATTAGGTG